TGGTATTATTATATATTCGCACTCTGAAACTTGCAACATTACTTGCTCAAATCTTAAATTATGAGCATAATTTTCAGATTATACCATTAGGACAGTGTAACTTGTTAATGCTAGAGAGTTTACATCCAAAACTTTTGAAAAATGTTAGTTAGGATGACGATAAATAATTTAACAAAATTGATTATTAAGTTCCTTTAGCTATTTTTTAAATCTTTACAATTATGAAGAAATGCATCCCATTTCTTTCCGGGGATTGCTATATTATATGGAGCAATACTTATAAGCATTACACTAAAACCAAAATTCTCTATGCTATAGCTAGCTTATGCTCAAAGCCTAATAATTGATATCTAATGTTTTTTGATAATGCAATGTATCTCTCCACTATAGTGCACCCATATACACATTAAAGAATGTTGAGAATTATAAAATATCAGTCTAGCTAGTAATATTTTATAACGTAATTTGTTGTCTGTCAATTTGATTGGACAGTTTTCTTTCAAGAATCACATTATGTCAGTCTTTAACCAAAGCACGAATTTAACCTTTGAGGTTAAATCACTGCACTTGAAACTTAAGAAAATTATGAACAAAATATAAAAGAATCAGAACAACAATAGAGTTCGGGGAGAATTTATCTTTGTATTTAAAAGAGGAGTCTTTACAAACCATAGTGTTTATGCTCACTTCCACTTTTATTGGCATTGGTTGTCTATAAAGAGTAAGGTCTTTACCCATTTTTGCGTGGGAACAATCAATGCAAAATTTGAAGAGAATCAATCAAAAATCACAGTTAAAAAAGATCATAAAAATCTCAATACTACACGTAACAGGCAAATGAATATGTTTTGTTTCAAATGACAATTATATTCAATTTCATTCTTATTTTTCAATTTGCAGGAAAGATGCTAAAATGAACAATCTTGCTTCTATCTTCCTTTTTTTGGCATCGGGGTCCAAATGTTATAACAATTAAACACATAAAGCTGAACAAATTCTCACCATTTATTTAAAGGAAGAACTTATTCTTCAACAAAAGAATAAATGCTTTTATGCAAATTTTTGAAGTGAAATTCATTGAAAGAGAAATAACATAACATAAAACTTTATTTTGTATTAATAAAAGAATATTGCTTTGTAGCCCTGCTGAGGTAAGTGACTCTAAATGATAGGCTAAATAAAATGCGAAATTAAATGGGTCATTCAATTCCACTGATCAGTTAATGCTACATCAATACCACCTAGACCGAGGTTGCAACCATAGTGGGGGCTAAATAACATTATTCTTAATATAAATATTAATTAGAGAAATTCAGTGCATTTAGTGTGTCCATAGCGCGCCACACAACTCATCACCCTTTGGCAAGAATTAATAATCACATTATATGCATGAACAAGTTTCAGAGTCAAATTATGATCTCTCTCTCTCTCTCTCTCTCTCTCTCTCTCTCAAGTATTCTAATTTTCTTTTTCAAACAAATTAAATTTATTCTAGTCACGACTCGAAACTATTCCTTGTCCGAATTCAAATGAATAGAACTCATTCTATTTCACAATTATATTAACGATTGCACACGTAATAAATATTATTCCTAACATTTATTGCAAGTATGTTAATTAAGCAGTGTTCTAAATTTATTGTGAGCCTTCCAGCACTATAACAAACAACTATATATTCAATTGGTGATCAATCAATCAAATAATAAAATTAAGTATGCAAGATTAATCAAGAGTTGCAAGAATAACTAAGCTATTTGTATTGAATTAAAAATAAATAATAAAATGTTTCATCTTCATCCAATACATGAAAAGAATTAAGCTAGCATATTATCTAATATATCATACAAAAAGATTTGGAAAAAATCACTCGGAACTGAAAACAATGATTGAAAAGTGAAAAATCAATTTCTTCTTTGTTAATTTTCAATCTCTTATGTAAATCACCTTTGAATCTCGTGCTATCCTTCTTCTATGGAGAAAAATATGTATAACATCTATTTCTCCATTCAATTTATCCCTTTTAGCTTAAAATTGATTTCCATACAAGTTTAGGTTAAAAGAGGATGCTGGGTTGTTAGAGCCCAGAAATGGCCTTCGCGTGCACGTGCCATATGTTCCACTGCGCATACGCCATCTTGGTTTTACTCTCGGTAAATGCACAACAAGGTCCCGAACGCACCGTTATAAAATCTTCCATTTGTTGCACTTTAATCCCTCAATTTCTTTCTTCATTCATTTTAGCTCTCTTTGATATCTTTTTGATCATCTATCTTCCAATTCTATCTATTGTGTGTTTGAGCCACATTATTTTGGAAGAATGTATTTTGGAATAGTATATTGATGAAGAACGTATTGTTAAAAAATGAAAAAAAGTTTTGAATTTGCGTGTAATATAATTTTATTGAAAAATGTGTAGTTAAAATGATGTCAATTCATTATTTGAAAATACATTTTTTTGAAAGAATGTGGTTCAAACAGAACCCTAATTGACTCCACACCTTCTCCAATCTTAGGTCCGAATCAACTATTAGCACTCTGTGATTTAGTCCCCAAACTTTGTATTCAGTATATTTTGGCCAATTTTTTACTCATTTCTTCCAATCCCACCAATTTGTCTCGAGTTTTTATCTAATAAACAAAATTAACATCTAATTAAGTCATAAATTGTCAAAACTTAATATAATTAATCTCATATAATGATCCATATAAGTATATTTTTCAGATGTGATTGAAGGTTCTAAAATAATCATTATTTTGTTACATGGGCGACCAAAATTTAAATCCTTAATCATTTGCTCTCACCATATTAAAAAGAAATAGGTTATGTTTCAAATATGTACTCATAATTTACAATTATAAGTACAATTGAAATATATAGTATATTGAACTAGATGTTCAATATCCTGAAATGATTTTACCTTTTGGCATGATCACTTAACTTTTCCCGCTCAATAATGATGTTAAAAAACTAGAAGATCCTTTCAATGGATTCACTTGTGTTCTTTGTTCTCAGGGCATGTCTACTAGTAGACCTCTACTAACTAAAATTTGAAATGAATTTTCTGTATTTCAGAATTAATAGGGTAATATGGACTCCATCAACCTCCATATTGATCATTTAAATATTAACTGTACCTAATAATACATCTAATATGATTGCTTGGTATTATTACATATTCGCAATTTGAAACTTGCGACATTTCTTCCTCAAATTTTAAGTTATGAGCATAACTTTCAGATCATATTATTAGGAAAGTGTAACTTGTTAATGCTAGTGAGTTTACATCCTAAATCTTTGAAAAATGTTAATTAGGATGACGATAAATAATTTAACAAAATTGATTATTAAGTTCCTTCAGCTATTTCTAAAATCATTACAATTATGAAAAAAAGCGCATCCCATTTCATTTTAACTCTTATAAAATATTTGTCTAGTTAGTGATATTTTATAACGCTGTTTGTTGTATGTCAATTTGATTGGATAGTTTTCTTTCAAGATTCACGTGAAGTCGGTCTTTAACCCCAAGCATGAATTTAACCTTTGAGATTAAATCACTACACTTGAAACTTAAGAAAATTATGAACAAAATATAAAAGAATAAGAATAACAATAGATTTTGAGAGAATTTAACTTTTTATTTAAAAGAGGAATCTTTACAAACCACAGAGTATTTATCCTCACTTCCACTTTTATAGGCATTAGTTATCTATAAAGAGTAAGGTCTTTACTCATCTTCGCGTGGGAACAATATATCAATGCAAAATGTGAAGAGAATCAACCAAAGATTGCAGTTAAAAAGATCATAAGAAAATTTCAATACTACATGTAACAAGCAACTGGATATGTTTTGTTTCAAATGAAGAGTATATTATTCAATTTCTTTCTTATTTTTCAATTTGTAGGAAAGATGAAATGCTAAAATGAACAATCTTGCTTCTATCTTCCTTTTTTTTGGCATTGGGGGTACAAATAGTATTGGAACTAAACACATTTATGCCTATTAAAAGCTTAACAAATTCTCACCATTTATTTAAGAATAATGCTATTTGCAATCGCTTATTGCCTTACGTGGCATACACATGACAGCTGGTTATTTGATACATTAATGAATAAAAAAAAACTACCATATTAATGTATCAAATAATCACCTGCCATGTGTATGTCACGTAGGGCGATTACGAATAACATTATTCTTTATTTAAAGGAAGAACTTCTTCTTCAACAAAAGAATAAATGCTTTTAGACAAACTTTTGAAGTGAAGTTCATTGAAAGAGAAAATAACAAAACATAAACGTTATTTTGTATTAATAGAAGAAGGGAGATGCTATATGTACCAAATTGTTTACCAAATGGATGACTGAATTGACAAGTGTCGCGTCCTTATTGGAGTGGATAGACGCCCCTCCAATAGGGGGGGCGCCACTTGTTTCGATAAAAAATTAGGTAAGACATTTGGTACAAGTAGATTAATTCATGGAAGAATAATGCTATATAGCCTCGCTGGGGTTTTAATCTCAGATTAGGTGATGCTAGATGATAGGTTAAATGAATGGTGAAATTAAATAGATCATTCAATTACATTTATCACTTAATGTCACATTAACTTTATCTGGACTGGAGTTGCAACCCCAATAAAACTAAATAGCATTACTCTTAGTAGGAATATTAATTAGAGAAATTCATTGCATTTTGTGTGTGGCACAAAATTCATCACTCTTTGGGGGAAAGAAGTAATAATCACATTATGTGCATGAACAAGTTTCAGTGTCAAATTCTTCTTCTTCTCTCTCTCTCTCAAAAGTTTTCTAATTACTAATTATTAGATAGAAAATTATTACTTTACAATTAAGAGCCCAACAGAGTGATTGGAGAGTCAAATTCGTTCCAAATTCAGAAATGGAGGAATAAATAGTAAATAAATAAATAAAAATTATCTTCTAGAAGCATGCAATGCAATTGAGTAGTAACGAAGTTTGCGAAAAAATAGGGACTACGAATTCGCACTGGTAAAAACCCTTAAACTCACACGTAATCGCAAATCTTGCCTTTAACGATCATTCAAAGTCCGTGTCTTCAATTCTTGAATCGAAATCATACACACGTATATATACACAGAGAGAGAGAGAGAGGTTAGGTGTAATTGTATTGATAGAAGAAAATGGCGGATGAAGGGCGGGCAGCGAAGAAAGGATCTGGGAAGAAAGATCAGAAAGTTCCATTCTATAAGCTTTTTGCTTATTCAGATAGGCTTGATATTGCTCTTATAATCGTCGGAACGATTTCTGCCATTGGCAATGGATTGACGCAGCCGCTCATGACTCTTATTTTTGGCCAGATAATCAATTCTTTCGGAGGGACCGAGCCATCTCACGTAGTGCATGAAGTTTCGAAGGTCATTTTTTCTTTCCTTTTAAGAATAGAGTTTATACTTGCGAGTAAATGTTTGTCGTATTAAGCCATAAGCAATGTGAATTGAGTGGTCTCCTTCCATCTGTATATTAGAAGAAACTGGAATTTTTAAAGCTTTTTCGAAATATATGAACAAATTAAATTCCAGTTTTTTTTTTTTTTAATATTAAAATGATGCATAAATTTATTGTAATATGAAATCTGTTGGAAAAAATAAACAAGACTAAAGCCTTTTGATACGAACAATTTGGAATTATGTTTCGTCTTTAAGGAGCTCTTATATTTTATGGAAGGAAACTAGACCCGATCTAATTATTTGATATTGAGCTTATACATTTTTCAAATTAAATTTTTTTTTTTCGCCTTCTTCAAATTATTTTTTCCTCAATTCTTCCATAATTGGGGACAAACACAAAGTTATGGTGGCAATAAGCAATTCCGTAAATTGAGCAAAAAGGATATTAAGTAAATTTTTGTAAAATGATTCTTGTCAATATTCGAGGCATCTTTGGTTTTACTTCTGGTTCTGAATCCGGAAAATAGTTAGGATACCTTGATCAAAGCTGGATAAAAAATTGCTTTCACTGTGGAGAAGTTACGAAGACATAGACATTGCTCACATTATCTTGGAAATTTTCAGGTCTCTCTCAAATATGTTTACTTGGCTATTGGAGCTGGCATAGCTTCATTTCTTCGTACGTACTTGTAGCTGCATTTACTTCCTCCCATATTTAATAATTTGTGAATTTTGGTATTTACATCCTTCAAGAATTTCCACAAATGAATTTAATGGAAATTGCTTGCTTGTGCATCACAGAGATGTCATGCTGGATGGTGAGTGGAGAAAGACGCGCATCTCGAATAAGAGGGTTGTACTTGAGAACCCTATTAAGGCAGGATATTGAGTTCTTTGACACTCAAACAACGACGGGAGAGGTCATTGGGAGGATGTCTGGGGATACCATTCTCATTCAAGAGGCCATGGGCGAAAAAGTGAGCAGTTAAACTTTGAGTACATTTTACCTATTTCATCATAGAACTTAACAGTACTGGACATGCAAATGTTTGAAGAAGAATAAAGAAACTAAATCTTGTTTATCATTTTGTCTAGCCTGATAGTGTGTAACAAACATGTATATGCCAACTACCAGATCGTTGCTAACTAATGATTTTCACAGGTTGGGAAGTTCATTCAGTTTTCATCAACATTCATTGGAGGCTTTATAATTGCTTTCTGTAAAGGATGGCTTCTATCCTTAGTATTGTGCTCTTGCATTCCTGCACTTGCCATAGCCGGAGGATGCATGTCACTGCTTATGACGAAGATGTCGAGTCGAGGACAAGTTGCCTACGCGGAAGCTGGAAATGTGGTTGAACAAACAGTGGGAGCAATCAGAACGGTAATTGACGTGCTGCAATCAATACAGAACTAGTTTGCATTTGCTCTCGAATTACAAGTGAATTCCTGAAATATTTTATGCTTCTGTTTAACAATTGTAGGTCGCATCCTTCACCGGAGAGAAGAAAGCAGAAGAAAAGTACGATAGCAAATTGCAAATAGCCTATGCATCCACTGTTCAGCAAGGGTTGGCTTCAGGCATTGGACTTGGCACTGTTTTACTAATGGTATTTAGTACTTATGGACTTGCCATATGGTATGGATCAAAATTGATAATAGAAAAAGGATACAGTGGTGGAAAGGTTATCAATGTTATGATGGCCATAATGACTGGTGGAATGTATGTAAAACATCAAATCCTTTTTTATTAGATTATCTAGTACTGTTCAATTGTGCTTACCAAACTTGCATTTATTATTTTAAGCATAACACACTGTCTCACTTAATATATTCTTGATACAGATCACTTGGACAGACGTCTCCATGCATAAATGCATTCGCAGCAGGTCAAGCAGCAGCATACAAGATGTTTGAGGCTATTGAACGGAAACCGAAAATTGATGGGAATGATGACAGAGGAATTGTGTTGGAAGATATAAGAGGTGAAATTGAACTTAAGGATGTTTATTTCAGATATCCGGCAAGGCCGGAAGTTCAGATCTTTTCAGGTTTTTCATTGCAAGTTGAAAGCGGCAAAACTGCAGCTCTAGTTGGGCAGAGTGGAAGTGGGAAGTCCACAGTTATTAGCTTGTTGGAGCGATTTTATGATCCTGATGCTGGAGAAGTACTTATAGACGGAGTTAATTTGAAGATGTTGAAACTCAAATGGATCAGAGGAAAAATGGGACTCGTAAGCCAGGAACCAATCTTGTTTGCAACTACTTTGAAGGAAAATATATTGTATGGCAAAGAAAATGCTTCTGATGAAGAGATTAGAACAGCAATAGAACTTGCTAATGCAGCCAAATTCATTGACAAGCTTCCACAGGTAACACGTCTTCACCGTTTTATTCATTGAACTAACCATGCATACCCAGTTTTCTTTGACGTTGGCTTTTAGAAAATAACAACATCGTGCTTACAGGGGCTTGATACAATGGTGGGCGAACATGGAACTCAGCTATCCGGTGGTCAGAAGCAAAGGGTGGCAATTGCTAGAGCTATTCTGAAAAATCCAAAACTCCTTCTTCTTGATGAGGCAACAAGTGCTTTGGATGCAGAGTCAGAACGCCTCGTGCAAGATGCACTTGAAAATGTTATGACGGACCGAACAACTGTGGTTGTTGCACACCGTCTGACAACTATAAGAAATGCTGATCATATAGCAGTAGTGCAAGCTGGAAAACTAGTAGAACAAGGTAAAAACATCACAATTTGTTAAATTAGATTTTGAGTTTAAGCATATGTAATCAATTTGAAATAATTTTGCCAAAAATTTATGCAAGGTACTCATGCTGAATTGGTAAGAAATCCCAACGGGGCATACTCCCAGCTTGTTCGAATGCAAGAAGGTACTAAACAGGTTGATAACAATGAAGGGACGGACTTGCAGAAAATGGATTCTTACTCAGAAGGCAACTTAAGTAAGTCTTCAAGTCAGAGAATTTCGATGAGGAGATCAACAAGCAACGGATTACTTCCCTCTCCCTTTGGTGTTCCTGGTCATATTGACTATCAAGAAGCTCAAACTGAAGATACCAGAGACGAAAAGGAACTCAAGGTTTCAAAGGAACATAAGAAAATTTCTATTAGACGCCTTGCATACTTAAACAAACCCGAGTTGCCATATTTACTGCTAGGATCATTGGCAGCTGGGGCACATGGCGTAGTTTTTCCAATATTTGGACTCTTGCTTTCATCAGCTATTAAAATTTTCTTTGAACCTGCACACAAGCTTAGGAAAGATTCCAGGTTTTGGGGACTCATGTTAGTTGTCCTTGGCATATGTACCTTGGTGGTTGTACCAATACAAAATTCCTTTTTTGGAATTGCTGGTGGTAAGTTGATACAAAGAATTCGTTCTTTGTCATTCAAGAAGGTAGTGCACCAGGAGATTAGTTGGTTTGATAATCCTCGCAACTCAAGGTTGTAAATTATTTTCCTGCTAATAATCAAATTGTTTATTTCATTAATTGTATTCAATTAAAACTAAAAGGGTAGTGTTCATTGGATGCAGTGGTGCTGTTGGTGCAAGGTTATCTACCGATGCCTCAACTGTAAGGAGCCTTGTAGGCGATGCTTTAGCGCTAATAGTCCAGAACGTAGCGACGGTGATAGCAGGTCTCGTTATAGCCTTCACAGCTAATTGGTTGCTAGCCATCATAATCCTTCTTGTTCTCCCCCTGGTTGGTTTGCAAGGATTCCTCCAGATGAGGTTCTACAAAGGGTTCAGTGCAGATGCCAAGGTTATTTTCTGTACCATAACTATAAATTATGATCATTCAAATGCTACTTGTGTTTATAATACAGACATCCAAGTAAAGATGCAATTTACGAAATTCAGGCGATGTATGAAGAAGCTAGTCAAGTGGCAAATGATGCTGTGAGCAGCATCAGAACTGTTGCGTCATTTAGTGCAGAAGAGAAGGTGATGAAAATGTATGAGCAAAAATGCGAGGCTCCTGTGAAGCAAGGAGTTCGGATTGGACTTGTTAGTGGAGCAGGTTTTGGAGCCGGTTCTTTTGCTCTATTTTGCACAAATTCCTTCTGTTTCTACATTGGGGCTGTTCTAATTCAACATGGGAGAGCATCATTTGGGGACGTGTTCAAGGTAAATTTAAGATTTCTTGTTCTTATCATTCTCTTGCTGAACTTATCTTCAATTGAACTAAAATCTTCTGCAGGTTTTCTTTGCTCTAACAATGTCAGCTATTGGAGTTTCTCAAACTAGTGCAATGGCTCCAGATGTGAACAAAGCTAAGGATTCTGCTGCTTCTATATTTGAGATCCTGGATAGTGAACCCGAAATTGATTCAAATAGCGAAGAAGGCACAACATTGGCTAGTGTTAGAGGTGACATTGAATTTCAACATGTAAGCTTCAAGTATCCAACTCGGCCAGATATCCAAATCTTCAAGGATTTGTGCCTGAGAATGCCTTCCGGGAAGGTATTATTCACTCAACCAAATAGATCAACATCTGATCTCTCCTTTATTGCTTTAGATTGTCGTTTTGTTTGAATTTAGATCATTTTTGTTTTTGCAGACAATGGCTCTTGTTGGTGAAAGTGGAAGTGGGAAGTCCACAGTTATCAGTTTGATACAGAGATTCTACAATCCCAACTTCGGACAAATATTCTTGGATGGAATGGAAATCAGAAAATTCAAGTTAAGTTGGCTGAGGCAACAAATGGGATTAGTGAGTCAAGAACCTATTCTCTTCAACGAGTCAATCCGCACAAACATTGCCTACGGGAAGAAGGGAGACGTAACGGAAGAAGAGATCATTTCAGCTACAAAAGCTGGGAATGCACACAACTTCATATCAGGATTGCCTCAAGGATATGATACTAATGTTGGAGAGAGAGGAGTTCAATTGTCTGGTGGACAAAAGCAAAGAATTGCCATAGCAAGAGCAATATTGAAAGATCCAAAGATCCTTTTGCTCGATGAAGCTACAAGTGCACTGGATGCTGAGTCAGAACGTATAGTGCAGGAAGCATTAGATCGAGTTATGGTGAACAGAACTACCATTGTTGTAGCTCATCGCCTGACTACGATAATGGGGGCAGACACCATTGCTGTTGTGAAGAATGGAATTATTGCTGAAAAGGGAAGTCACGGCGTGCTTATGAAAATGAAAGATGGGGTCTATGCATCATTGGTTGCTCTACACTCTAGTTCAGAATGAAGTGACGCACCACTTTATTTGCCATTGTCTTGTATAACTGAAAATTTTGAACTTTGATTTAGATCCTTTTTTGTAGGGATTAAAAGTCAAAGCCAACAATTAATTTTAACCTTGGAACCCATAACTCTTCGACTACACATTTTATTAACTTTTATCAAAATTTACTAAAAATTTGAATTTAATCCCACCAAATGGAGATTTTGATTAATGACTACTAGATATGTAAGCCACTTAATCCTTATCTTGGACTTAAAAAAGATTTACTATAATTAACAAAAAAAATCATTTCAAGTATGTCTTTATTAATACAAAATGACATTGCAACATCTCATATACAATTTCCTAAATTATTATGCTTTTATGTGTGAATTTTAAATTGGGTAATAGCCTAATCTATAATCTATAATATATTAAAATATAACATCAAGAGAGAATAATTTTTTGGACGATTTTAACCCCCTTACAATTCAATTACTTCAATAATACTTTACTTTTCATTTTTCGAAATGTAATAAATACTACAAATTTATTGTCATTTATGAAATTTGTTTTATTACTTCTCAATTAATTAACATTCACATTAATCTAGATTCAATAAATTTTCACTTAATGAATTGATAAATTTATTAATATTCACGTATCTAGAAATTTTAATAGGTTTTTAAATTTATGTATTAACAATTAATTTTTATGTATCAAATGTAATATAAAAAGATTGTTCATTTATAGTAATTCATCATTATAAAAAATTTGATTCATATAAATTAAGTTTTGAGAGTACAATTTGAGTATAATTTTCTTCTCTTAAATTTCTATACTAAATTATATTTTCTTTAATTTGTTCGAGACTTATCAAATCCTCTAACAAACTGGTACAAAATATTACTTCTACATCACTTATAAAGTATTTTACATTGCACGTTCACCTTTGACTAGTAATCTATAAAACGGCCTTGATTGAGTAACAAGACCGGGACCATTCTTTTACTAGTTTGACACAGATTTATTCAATCAAAGCAACTTAATTTTGGTAAAGATCCCAGCTGCCATACCTGCATACAAAAATATCAGCTGGCACAATATTTCTCAGTTAATGAACTCAGCATACATGACAAAGAGCCATATTTTTCTTACCCTAAATTCTCATGATGTCAAGGTACGATTTTCCATCAAGTTCACGAGATATAAATCCCTTCACGTAATCAGTTAAGCTGATTCTTTTGAATTTTGCTGGAGTTTCTGGAGTCACAAGGCTTGGTGCTGGAATTAAATCACAATCCACATTTGGATAGAAAAATGTGGCAACGGAGAGCCTTTCCTTCTTCGAGTTGACAGTTGCTCGATGCTCAACGCTCTGGTAAATTCCGTTAGTTACGATCTGTCAAAAACATGTAATTGAGAAGATCTTACAGAAATGATTTACAGACTCGACAGATCTCAAGGAGTACAATAGAATTTATAGATACATAAACTGTCGAGAACAATTTATAATTGGAATGATTTTAGGCCATTGGATCTTGTACAAATACCTCCAAGATATCGCCGATGTTGATAATAAAAGCATTAGGCAGTGGTACAACAGGAATCCAAGCTCCATCTTTCTTAATCTGGAGACCTTCAATTTCATTGACTTGGAGGAGGATGGTGAGTGCAATCGCATCAGAATGTGGGCAGAGGCCGGTTACGAGCTCCGGTTGGGGACAGGGAGGATAATAATTCATCCTCATTGCTTGCATCCCTTCTTCAAAAACCTTATTCATTTCCTCAGCTTTCATGTGTAAAGCTTTGGCCATTAAGTTTAGGATTTTCATGGCAAGGTTTCTCAATTCTGCTGTATACTCGTCAATGGAATCCCTGCAAAAATCAAGAATAAAAGAGCCAAGTAACCACATGTTTGATACACGGTACAAGGTTGCACCGGATAAGACGCTACAAGATTGTACAATTTTATTCAGTACTGCATAACACTCTACCTGAATTTAGCAGGAAGCTTGGGAATTATGTGGGGTTTTCTCAATTCGATTGGTGAGGTTATTACATAAAACATATCTGCCCAATCAAGCTTTTGCTCTTCTGATAAAACAAAGGCTTGTCCATAACCCTGTACGTCCCCTGCCTCTTGACTAAACTTCTTCTTTTCCTCTATTGGGAGATTGAAGAATTCTTGAAGTTCTGACTTCATTTTCTCCACCTTTGAAGAGCTCACTCCATGGTTGATCAACTGCGAGTAGTCAAGCATTCATTTGTCATAATCACATAAAAGAATATTAGACTGAAAATAATCGCCCATGTGGGTTGACCAGTCCCACTTAATATGAAATTGGTTTCAGGAAGAAGTTATTATTTGATTTATGGAATAACTTCGCACCACCCATAATCAACTACAACTCCCTTGATTCAACATGAAAGTGAGAGGTTAAGACTTCTGTCAAGAAAATACATAAAAGTTCATATGGAAAAATTGTGCTAAATTGAAAATCATTATTTTTCAGCATACAATAAAGGGCATTTGGATTGTGACAAAGAAACCCTTTTCATTGTGATCGAGTTGTGGACCAAGAAGCACAAGTAAAGACAAGTGATTCAATCAAGTTCATCTTGAAATTCCTTCAACTTCAAGTAAATTTCAATAACCTTTAATCAAGTAGAAACACGCTAGGTAATACTTTACACATGATTATAAGATCATTGTGGTGTCAAAATGTGTTAAAGCTGCCAGAATAGGTCCTACAGATTGACCATGTCAGGTTGAAATAACTGATGTACCTGGAAGAAACCCCATTCTTGGCATGCAGTGTGCAGTTTTTCAATCTCTGAATCTTTCTCCGTCAGGATTTGCATATCAATCACCGGAATTTGATTTCCGGGTGAGGAAGAAATGAGATGGTCTTGATTAGGACGCAGGTATCTTGCTGGAACAGTGGTCAATTTCTCCTTAGCCAATTCCTGCACATTAGGCACCTCTAAAGAGCTGCCTAGTTTTTTCAACTTTGGTTCCATATCTGAAGCACTATTTCAGTATTTCCCCTTTGGTTCTGCCAATGTCTCTCCCTCTTTTATTTTTCTTCTCCTCTCTGAACTCTCTTTTCCTGTATTTAATAATTATATGATTATGTATTCGTATTTTAAAATTGATTTTTAAAATACCTGAACTGGTGTTATCATAGTCTGGATTTTTAAAATTGATCCCATTAAAAAATCAAGTGGAGGTTTCAATATAGCTTTTTTTTTTTTTTTTTTTTTTTTTTGGTGGGTTTTCAGGTTTTCTATATTTTTGTATAGCATCAGTCATTGATATTTTTTCCAGATTAATTAAATATATTGTTTGTCACTGAATTATCTTATTTTTCTTGACTTTGCAATCCTTGTGGCCGACCTTGATTAAAATATTAAGGTTAAGACTTAGCTCAAATGGTAGGAGCGAAGTCTTTTCATGTGACATAAGGTCGGCATGATATTTTACTTAAAGTATACAAAAATGTAGAAAATGAAAACTAGAGACAAACACACTTTATTTACGTTATTTTGTCCTCCAACCATACATTATCATAGTCAGACAATGAGCTACACAATATATGTTCTATCATCATAACTCTATCTAGCATTTCCTGCACTGTGCACATCCGGTGTTATAGTTACTTCAACAAGCAAAAGGATCTTTAGATCAAGATCCTTTTATTTGACGAAGCAAGAAGCACACTCAATGCTGTGTCAAATCGTATATTTCTAGAAGTGCTAGATAGAGTTATGGTGAATAGAACTACTATTGTTGTAGCTCGTTGTCTGACTATGATAGTGAGGCAGCCTCCGTTGATGTTGTGGAGAATGGAGTAATTGCTGAAGAGGGAAGTCACGACGTGCTTATGAAAATGAAAGACGGGGTCTATGCATAGTTGGTTGCTCGACACTAGTTCAGGATTGATGCTGTTAGGACTAATTTCTCGGGCTACATAATGACGAATCTAGCATAGCAAGCAAAGAGGAGAGTTGAAATCCCAAGGACCAATTTTCAATATGCCTTTCTAGATATTCCTCAATGTCCCGACTATTCAGGTTGTCAATTCCATGATGAAAGATGATAGGCCTCAATCTTGAATCAATTTTAGCCCTCATTTGTCTCTCATTATTTCAGAACTCTTTTTTCTACATGCTCATTTTCAATCACACATTCACACAATAAAATATTCTATACGTAAACTCAAAATTTTTCCCTACTTTTTAACTATACATTCTCCAACAATTCATTATTCAAAACAATGTTGTTCCAAAAAAAAGTTCAGCAACAGGGGTTTAAATAACTTTACTTAAAATTGCATATAAGAAACCATACACCCCCTTTAGATGATTTACCTACCATAGCTCCAATAATCATGAAAATTTCATTTAATATAAACATTGACTTTACGTGAACCCACAATCCGTCCCACAAAGGACAAATGAAACAGGAATCCATCCCACAATTGCTTTTCAGAGAAACGATAAACAAATGTGAGTAGCCTCTTCATTTGTCCCATTCTTTGTCCATGGAGCAATTCTTTGCCTCCTATAAAGCAAGTACTTCCTAGTTGTCCAAATATAAAACCAATGCTTCCTAGAATCCTACTCCAGTATCATATCTCCATAAGCATAAAACAACATCTAATTATGTTTGGGATGAAATAATTTTTTTTTTCTTCATATAGACAATAACGTCAAGTGCTTTTGTACAAAATATCACATAAGATTCTAGGAGAACTCTTTTCAAACTCAGGGCCCATCAAACCCTAGGAGAGACTGAAAATAGACGTAAACAAAAATATAATTGTCATAAAAAAATTCCATATTGATCAATGGAATTATAGGAAAATGGAATAAAATGAGGTTGTCTATCATGTACATTGTATGATAAGTGTTAGGTTGGTGATTCAAATTAGGAGCCTTGTGAGATTGTGTTGTCGATTTTATCCCGCAAGTAGACGGATCATAACAAGTAGTAAAGTGGACATTTTGAATCCGGATTATCGTTCCCACGAGAACTATACTTTAATACTCAATGTATTATTCCTAACTTCTATTCGATGAAAATAAACAAAAAAATGATTGAATGTGATATTTATATCCAACTACTAAAAATTTCGTGAATGCAACAAAAAATGAATGAGAATTCAAATAATGAATGGATATTATGGCAGAACAAATTCACCTCTTGGTTATCTTCACTTCTAATATAGAGATTCATAAAATTAAAGTAGTGTTCGGTCGAATTCTTCTATGGTATTCAATTTACCCCTTTCGAGTTCTCATTGAACCTTTTTAAATAATTCAATTTCCTATCTCTATGCGAACCAACATTATTTAAACGAAATAACAGTTTTAAGAATTCCCGTAGGACCGTAGCAATTAATATAGGCATCTCTACACGTTATATTAATTTACCGAATTTTAATATGTGATCTAAACAAGAATCCGCATTTCTACGTAATTATTGTTCACGAAATCGTTGAATAACTGGCTAGAAAATTCAAAGCATTAAGAACATAATTAAAACCCACACATAAAATATAAAAAAACAAAGAATCCCAAATAAAAGAAATAAAGATTCCAAATAGATTACATTGTTCGTCCTAAAATTAAATTTAGCTACTCATATTAATGAAGGAAAAACAATAAATTATGGAAAATATCATCGAGAATTGACAGAACATAAATAATTTTCAATTATTCTTTCTGTCGTCTTTTTTTGGTGCAATTAATGAAGGACTCCCAGATTTTTTTGTCTCCCAAAACTGCCACCTATTTCTCTCTCCAAAGGACGCCTCAAAGTGAGTGCAAAAAATTATAAATTTGGCCGCCTTAAGTTCCCTCTCCCTCCGTTTTTCTCTGTGTCACTGAAAAAATATCTCGCAGTCTCTCTCTCTGGACGTACATATATATATATATCTCCAAAATAATAACCTAGCAGCCACAATAGTTGACTAAGAAAAAGGACTCTAGCTCCTGCCAACCGCCTGCAGCCCTTCATTTCACTTAAAGAAGGATTTTTAATTCATGCATGCATGTAGAGGTTCAATCAGCCATCAATTTAAGCCATTATTACTTAAATTATTTTTTAAGTCCTCCGTCTTTCAAGATAATTCAATTCAATCCTTGAGCCATTTTATTCTTACAACCCATTTCTTTTTTGATTCAATTTAAGTCCTTCACTTTCTAAAATATGAAATTTGATCTCCAACTTCTTCAATCTTTGATTCATGATCCGGATGAACTATTGAATTGTTATAACTTGGTTCCAAACTTTTGCATTCCGCTCTTTTTCCTGGTTTTCCTCTCGTTTCTTCCACTTTCTTTTACAAATATTGACTTCTACTAATTCTCCACTAATTGCAACAATTTAGATCATAACTTATCGGAGAAACACTAAATATTATCATTTTAAAGTCTCCAATAAGTGTATAAAATACACTTATCAAATACCCTCAAATTTAAACATTTGTTTGTCCTCTAACAAAACTATAAACTAAATAATAATTAACACACAAGTATGCAAAAATATTTGGTTGGACAATCTAACTTCTCACCTCATGATTCAAGATTTAAGTGTTAATTTCACAAACATGATTCAAAGTTACAACATCAAACTAATATTCACTCTTACAGTGCAAAATCGACTTTTGTGTGTGTGAAGAATCAAGTAATCAATCATGACTGCACAAGTTGTTTCAATTCTTGATCATCTGTGGTCAAATATATCCTTACATTTCTCGTTTAATTCACACTCCCCAAACTTATTCTTTTTTACTTTTTTCCCAGCGTGTGATCTAACATTGAATTTTTCATTACTATCCTTACCCTCTCTAGTTCAGGTGGACGTTACTAGTTGCAAGTCAACACTTCAGTGAACAGGGATTCTCCAATTATTTGATTGCTTTGACTTCTAAGACTCAACAAGCTAATTATCTTGCATCAAAAGTCAAATTCATTCAAATAAGTGTTAGGGCTTAAATGACCCTTGTAACGAACTTTAGGGCAATGACTCCCAAGTCATACGACTTTAGGGCACCAGGTTTTAAAATACTCTTACAGACTTAATCAATCGATTCATAAAGGCTTCAGAGAGAAGTTCAAAATTTTCAAATATATGTGCCTTGATTAGTACATTGCCCCTTATTACACACTTATTCAAACAAACCGAGCTCAAACTTAAGACTTTCGTCGAGTTTTATCGTATTAGTCTAAGACAATCCACACATAAATTTTCACACATGGAATCCACATTCACATCCGCATCCTCCTACAATTGTAAAGTCATCCTAAAACTATGCTAAATTTAGTCTAAGGATAAATAATTTAATATGATTTAGGTAAAGCATCTATGTCCAACTAGATCAACCTATCAAAGGCAAGGAACAACTGATTTAATCACAGTGTCAAACTCAATTCTAGTGCATGTATAATATCAAGTTTTACAAGGTTAAACTTCGATCAGTCTAGCATGCATCTTATCCACAGTTCATAAATCAACACAAAATTTCAAATTAAATTAGCATAGTTAACCAGACTGTCTAACGCACACAAGCACACAGTTGAATAAAAGAGATTTTTTTTTTAAAATTTTTTTCTTTTTTTTAACAAGCACACAAAACGAACACACAAAAACATATAAACACATGAATAACAAAAACTTTTTTTCACCCCCAAACTTAAAACTAACATTGTCCTCAATGTTATAAACCATAAATAAGCACATAAATGGGGTAGAGAAGAAAAGAAGGTACTCTCCAAATTTTTCTATTGAATGTGTGAGACACTATGTGTGACGACTAGATAATATTCTTCATCATGCTTTCCCTTGGATTTATGTTGGTTTAAGTGTTTCACGATGTCATGTTCCTGAAAAATCAAATTCGACAAATTAAATATAGGGAACAAGGGTTACTTTGCTCAAATAATTAAAATAACCAATAATAAATTCAAGGCCTGAGAGCAAAAGGGATATGGGCGATGACTCCTAAAAATTGAAACGTGCCTAAATCTAATGCAACCTAGTAAACAAAACAAAACTCTATGCCATGCGATAAGAAAGGCAAAATAAAAAAGTTTGAAAATTGAGTTGCCTCCCAATAAGCGCTTCTTTAAAGTAATTAGCTTGACTTTGTGCCGCGATCATTCTGGTACAGCTAGGTCAAGGCTTTCTTTAGCAGTGGGGAAATCTTCCATGTAGTGCTTGATACGTTGGCTATTTACTTTGAAGTTTCCTTTTGTTTGATGGTGTAGTTCAACTGTGCCATAGGGAAACACCCGAGAGACGGTAAAAGGGCCGGACCATCTATATTTCAACTTTCCTAGAAATAGTTTAAGTCTGGAATTGTATAAAAGCATTTGATCTCCCACTCTAAAAATTCTTTGCCTAATGTTCTTGTCATGCCACTACTTTGTCCTTTCCTTGTAGATGGCTGCCTTTTCATATGATTCACTTCTGAATTTTTCCCATTCATGTAGCTGCAATATTCTTGTTTCTCCAACCTTTTAGAGGTCCATGTTTAATTGTTTCAATGCCTAGTATGCTCTGTACTCAAATTCCACTGGTAGATGGCAGGATTTTCCAAAGAATAGTCGATATGGGGACATTCAAATGGTGTCTTGTAAGCAGGACGATGTGCCCATAAAGCATCGTCTAATTTCGTTGACCAATCCTTGTGAGATGCATTCACAGTGAGCTCCAGAATTCTTTTCAATTGTCTATTCAAGGTTTCCACCTGTCCACTTGTTTGAGGATGGTAAGGAGTGGCAATTCGATATTGTATCCCGTACTTATGTAGCACTGCCTGGAATAACCAATTGCGAAAATGAGTTGCACCATCACTTATTATGGCCTTAGATGATCCATAGCGGTTAAAGATATATTTCTTTATGAAGTCCACCACCACCCTTGCGTCATTTATAGGCAATGCTTTAGCTTTAACCCATTTAAAGACATAGTCCACTGCCACTAGGATGTACCGATTGTTGTAAGATGATGGAAAATGACCAATAAAATCAACCTCCAGACATCAAATATTTTCACCTCCAAAATGTTGTTTAAGTGGCATCTCGTGATGTGCTGATATGTTATCTATTCTCTGACATTTATCACATGACCTGCAAAAACTGTGGCAGTCCTTGAACAGTGCAGGCTAAAAAAAATCACATTGAAGTACCTTTGATGCTGTTTTAGTGAGGCCAAAGTATCCTCCATAAGCAGAAGCATGAACTCGTGAAAGGATCGATTTCATCTCATCCTTTGGTACACATCTCCTAATGATCTAGTATGCCTCTCTCTTATATAAATTTGGATCATCCCAATAATAGAATTTCACTTCATGAAGCAGCTTCTTCTGCTGATAGGTGAGATTAGGATCCATATAGTTATTAGCTAGGTAATTAACAATGTCTGCATATCACGGAGCCTTTTTTATCTGCAACAACTGTTCATTTGGAAAGACCTCATTAATATTCACATCATCTGAATCATGTAGTTACTCTAGCCTTGATAAATGATCCACTACCTGATTTTCTGAAGCTTTTTTATCGCAAATTTCAATGTCAAACTCTTGCAATAACGGAACCTATCGAATCAGCCCAGGTTTAGCGTCTTTCTTCTCAAACAGGTATTTCAAGGCTACATGGTCAATGTAGACTATCACCTTTGAACCAATAAGATAGGAATGAAATTTATCGAAGGCAAAGACCACTGCTAGCATCTCTTTTTTCGTTGTTGCGTAGTTGATCTAAGCATCTGTTAAGGTTTTGCTTCTATAGTAGATGACATGTGACACTTTTTCTTTACGTTGGCCAAGCATCACTCCCACTGCAAACTTACTAGCATCACACATAAGTTCGAAAGGTAGATCCCAATCAGTTACTACTATTACAGGTGCAGAAGTTAACTTTTCTTTTAAAGTATTAAAGGCATTTAAGCACTTATCAGAAAAGTGAAATGACACATCCTTTTCCAGTAGATTACATAGAGGTTTTGTAATTTTTGAGAAATCTTGAATGAACCTTCTATAAAATCCTGCATGTCCTAAGAAGCTTCTGATCCCCTTAACTAAATTAGGAGGCTGCAATTTTTCAATCAATTGTATCTTGGCTTTGTCAACTTCAATGCCCTTTGAGGAAATCCTGTGGCCTAGCACTATACCCTCTTTTACCATGAAATGGCATTTTTCCTAATTTAGCGCTAGGCTCTTCTCTTCACATCCTTACAATACAAGAGCTAACCGATCTAAGCAGTCATCAAATGAACCTCCAAACACAGAAAAATCGTCCATGAAAACCTCAATATAATTTTCTACCATATCAGAAAAGATGGCCATCATGCACCATTGAAAGGTTGCACAGGTGCGTTGCATAGACCGAAAGGCATCATTCTAAACGCAAAAGTTCCATAAAGGCATGTGAATGTTGTTTTCTCTTGGTCTTATGGAGTAATAACTATCTGATTGTACCATGAGTATCCGTCCATAAAGCAATTGTGAGAATGTCTTGCCAACCTCTCCAACATCTGATCAGTGAATGACAATTTAAAGTGGTCCTTTACGGTGGCATTGTTTAGCTTCCTGTAATCTATACATATTCTCCATCCTATCACTAATCGTGTTGGTATCAGCTCATTGTTCTCATTCTTTTCTACAGTAATTCCACACTTTTTAGGCACCACATGTACTGGCCTCACCTATGAACTATCAGAGATGGGAAAGATAATACCTGCATCCAACAATTTCAGCACTTCTTTTCGCATAACTTCTTTCAAGGTTAGATTTAATCTGCATTGTCCTTCCACTATTGTCTTTGACCCGTCTTTCATTAAAATCATGTGCATACAAAGAGTTGGACTGATTTCTTTGATGTCAGCTATTGTCCATCCAATTGCCATTTTGTGCTGACTGAGTACCTCCAACAATTTATTCTAATTTTTCCTTGTCATATCATTCGTAATGATTACTGAAAGTGTTGTAGAGTCTCCCAAATATGCATAAAGGAGATGTAAAGGCAAGAGCTTTAGTTCAAGAGTGGGTGCCTTTTCCACTGAGGGTATCGGGGTGAAAGGGTTGTCACCAAGAGATTCATACTGCCAATATCTCCTTCTTATTGGTTGCTCGGCCAAGTTGACAACATCTTCAGTTTTTTCTGCACTTGTTGCCTCTGATTGTACAATTTTTACTTTATAAAGAAATGTTTGATGCTCTTTCTCAAATGTATATGCCATAAGTTCTTTATAAAAATCTACTTGGCAATCGGTATATAAAGTTAATGGATGCTTCATCGGCTTGAATATGTTGAATATGACTTGCTCATTGTCCACCCGATGAATCATTTTTCCACCATAAACATCAATCAGCACTCTTCTGGTAACCAAGAAGGGTCTTCTCAAGATTAGAGGAATGTTTGAATCATTTTCCATGTCCAAAATGATGAAGTCAGTCAAAAAAATAAATTTATCAACCTTCATTAGCACATCTTCAATAATCCCTTTTGGTCGTTTAATTGATCTATCAGCCAGTTGCTATGAGATTGTTGTAGGTTTTGCTTCTCCCAATTCAATCAACCTTAAATAGAGAGAGGCATCAAATTAAAACTAGCATCTAAATTGCATAAAGAATGTTCAAAATAATTAGAACCAATGGTACAAGGTATCAGGAAACTTCCTGGGTCTTTTAGTTTAGGAGGTAGCTTTCTTAATAAAATTGTACTGCACTCCTTGTTCAAGTAGACTATCTCATGTTCTTCCAACTTCCTTTAGTTAGATAGGATCTCCTTCAAGAATTTAGCATAGCTTGGCGTTTGGGCAATTGCATCTACAAACAGGATATTGATGTGCAGTTTTTTGAAAATCTCCACAAACTTGGCAAATTGCTTGTCCAACTTCTTTTTCTGTAACCTTTGAGGGAAGGGAATTGGTAGCACATAAGGGGCTGGGTGCTCTCACTGTGGACGTTTCTTTCCTTTTATACTTCTCGTTATTTGGTTGTTCAGACTCTGCTTTTGTCCCAGCCTCTTCACCCATTACTTCTTTATCTTTTCTGTCTAGTCTCTTAACATGTATCTCTGGAAGTTGCACCCTACTTCTGGTTGTAATAGCTTGCACTTGCTCTTTTGGATTGACCATTGTGTTGCCTGGCAATGTCCCTTGTGGGCGTTCTGCAAGCTATTGAGCTATCTAACCAATTTGAGTTTTCAGTTTCTTAATGGATGCTTGCTGATTCTGAAAGTTAGTGTCAATCTGCTGGAACACCTTATCTATTTTCTACATGTATTGGTTGAACATCTCCCCCAAATTTGGTTTTTTCTCTAGCTGGTTATTTTTTGAACTGTTCCCTTGCTAATTATCCGACCATCTGAAATTTGGGTGTTGCCTCCACTCTGAGTTATATGTTTGTGAAAAGGATTAAAATTTCGAGAGCTATTTTGAATGAAGTTGACTTGCTCCTCCAGAAATCCTAAAGATGTACAGTTTTCTGTTAGATGATTAGCCCCGCAGTTTTTGCATGATGGACTAACTATCACTGCATGTGCTCTTTTTGTTTGTGACTTCACCAATAACTCTACTTGTTTTGTCAATGTTGTTATTTGGGCGTTGGTAGATGATGTGCTGTCTAATTTATATATTCCGCTGCTTTTGGAGGCACCACTCTTTCTGACGAAAACATAGAGTGAGTAGTAGCAATCAAGTCAAACAGATCCATGTATTGTTGCATTGATTTCCCTATGATTGATCAGCTTGCAGAGGAATCCACTTGAGATTTTGACAGTGGTAAAAGTCTCATGTGGAAATACTGCACTTGATTTTCGATAGTAATCCCATGATTTGGACACTTTCTCGTCAACTTCTTAAATCTGTTCCAAACCTCGTGATAGCTTTCTCCATCTTTCTGTTGAAAGGTTTGAATTTTCAGTCTGATTTTTGCTACTTTAGATGGTGGAAAGAACTTATTACAGAATTTCTTGGTCAGTTTCTCCCATGTGATAATACTTCCATTAGGTTTGGCATTCAGCCATTCCAATGCTGCATCTCTCAGTGTATATGGAAATAATCGCATCTTGATGGCGTCCTCATTAACCCCGAGAACATGACAATTCTGGCAATTCCTGAGAAATCTGGAGATATGTGCGTTTGGATTCTCATTTGGTAGCCCGTATAATTGTAAAGTGTTACTCATCAAATTAATCCAGTCAGCCCTTATCTGGAAGTTGTTTATCCCAAAACCTGGATACACAATACTGGACCGTGTAGGTGTTGCTATAGGCGTTAAGAACATAGACACTGACAAGTCCTCTTCATTTACTTTCCTTTGCTCTTGATGTTGATCTCTCGTTGCCATTTGTCCAATTGGTTGTATAGGGATAGGGTTGTTTAGATTGTCAGCCATTTGATGTTGCTGTTTTTATTTGTGTTCCCTTCATCATCGTCTGAAGGTACGTTCTATTTCCAAATCAAACGGTTCAAGATCATCGCTTTGGACACGGAGCATACAACGAACACCTTTTTCTGTGAATGAAAGAAAATTAACAAATCAAATAACAATTAAAAATAAAAATAAATAAATAAATAAGAATAAAAGTAATAGTCCTCGGTAAAGGAGCCAAAAATTTGTTGTCGATTTTATCTTGCTAGTAGACAGATCGTAACAAGTAGTAAAGTGAACTTTTTGAGTCCGGATTATCGTTCTCACGAGGACCATACTTTAACACTCAATGTATTATTCCTAACTTCTATTCGATGAAAAAAATGATTGAATGTGATTTTTAAACCTGATTACTAAAAATTTCGTGATTGCAACAAAAAATGAGTGAGAATTCAAATAATGAATGAATATTAGGGTGGAACAAATTCACCTATTAGTTACCTTCACTTCTAATATAGATATTCACAAAACTAAAGTAGCATTCAGTCAAATTCTTCTATGGTATTCAATTTATCCCTCTCAAGTTCTCTTTAAGCCTATTTAAATAATTCAATTTCATATCTCTATGCTAACCAACATTATTTAAACGAAATAACAGTTTTAAGAATTCCTGTAGGACCGTAGCAATTAATATAGGTATCTCTACACGTTACATTAATTTATCGAATTTTAATATGTGGTCTAAGCAAGAATTCGCATTTTTACGTAATTATTGTTCACCAAATTATTGAATAATTGGCCAGAAAATTCAAAGCATTAAGAACATAATTAAAATCCACACATAAAATATAAAAGAACAAAGAATCTCAAATAAAATAAATAAAAGTCCCAAATAGATTACATTGTTCGCCCTAAAATTAAATTTAGTTACTCGTATTAATGAAGGAAAAACAAGAAATTATGGAAAATATCATCGGGAATTGATGGAACGTAAATAATTTTCAATTATGCTTTATGTCGTCTTTTTTTGTGCAATTAATGAAGGACTGCCAGATTTTTTTGTCTCCCAAAACTGCCTCCTATTTCTCTCTCTAAAGGACGCCTCAAAGTTAATGCAAAAAAATATAAAATTGGCAGCCTCAAGTTCCGTGTGTGTCTTCTATTTAATAGTAGCGAAAAATTTTCCTCTCCTTCCATTTTTCTATGTGTGTCTCCAAAAAAATATCTCACAGTCTCTCTCTCTCTTTGTACGTATATATATCTCTCCAAAATAATAACTTAACAGCCACAATAGTTGACTAAGAAAAAGGACTCTAGCTCTTGCCAATTGCATGCAGCCCTTCATTTCACTTAAAGAATGATTTTTAATTCATGCATGCATGTAGAGGTCCAATCAGCCGCCAATTTAAGCCATTATTACTTAAATTATTCTTCAAGTCCTCCGTCTTTCAAGATAATGCAATTCAATCCTTGAGCCCTTTAATTCTTGTAACCCATTCTTCTTTGATTCAATTTAAGTCCTTCACTTTCCAAAATATGAAATTTGATCTCCAAATTCTTCAATCTTTGATTCATGATCCGGATCAACTATTGAATTGTTACAACTTGGGCCCAAACTTTTGCATTTCGCTCTTTTTTCGGGTTTTCCTCTCTTTTCTTCCACTTTCTTGTACCAATATTGACTTCTACCAATTCACCACCAATTGCAACAATTTGGATCATAATTTATTAGAGAAACACTAAATATTTTCTTTTAAAGGTCTCTAATAATTGTATAAAATACACTTATTAGTTATCAGATTGTGTAT